AGCTCGCCGTGCCCCCGCCACAGGTGGGTTATATACCAAAATCTATCTATACTTCTACTAATCTATAGCTATCTAATGTAATAAAATTGAAGTGTCTGTAATTATGACATATTTGCGTTGCTGATAACGAAAATCGCATATACTTCGACCAGACTTTCACTGGAGGGGAGCTGAAATAAATGGGCATGGCGTAACGGGTGATCCAAATTGCGCTAGGAAAGTTTGCAGACGACAGCTCGTTCTATATTAACTATATCTTCGCGGACCTTACGGGAGTAGGGTAAGGTAGGGGAGATGATGATGACCTCTATACTAATATAGCGTAAACACACACTACTTTGTTACGTAGGATGTCAGCAATCACAGTATATTTTTGATGAATCCTTGCTTAAATGAAAAGCCCTACATTTACGACGAGCTTTAGGCTACATATTTTCACGCTATTAAACTTAGGGGGTAAATAATGCGGATAAATCCATAACGTGGGCAAGGGACAAAAAATGAAGTGATATTAGATCTTCTGGTTATGAGATCGATAACAAGATCCATTCTTGCTACTCCGTTTAGATCTATGATAGCTGAAAATTAACTGGAATATGTTTGAATATGAAATTATTGCTACACTTTTTAAAGAGTTTTCAACATTGTGATTCCAGGAGTTAAGATCTTCAGAAGTAGAGTTAGAAGCGTCAGAGTATTCTCCCGAGGACGACAGCAGCTCGGCGGGCGCTGACCATACGGACGCGCCCAGGGACCCTGCTGACCCCCTTATAGCCGCAGGTACGCTCACAGTTCATTTTATTGCCCATATGAGAATTTTATTAAAAATATATAGCATGTCTGGTAAACCTATAATAGATATCTCATTTAGTTATAACAAATTGCCGCTGAAAGACATCTATCTATATAGTTATTAGGAGTGTTTGATTGTAGTATCATAAAAAAAATCGCGAACATATTTCCGTTATTGATAACTAAATTCCGGTTTAGAATATTTTTGTCTGTCCGTCGTGTATCCGCAATCACTTTCCGGGCAACCGATCGAGTATCGAAATATTATCTAGAGGATAACCGACGTGGACGGGAACCTTGTAGACTGTTTTTAAAATTTTGCACTGTCGATATTCCTAAGTCGAGTTGGTCTGTAATAAATGCAGTGTTGAACTTTAATAGGTGTTATTTAATGGTTCGACTCCTGTTAACAAGCAAGCAAAAGAAAAAATAAATAAATACGACTAATATTTAATGTTGTTCGCGATTTCGTCCGCGTGAGATTAAAAAGTAATAAAAAATATAGCTTACTTACAGATAAATTACGTTTCTAACGGTAAAAGAATTTTTAAAATCGACTCAGTAGTTTTTGAGTTATCGCAATACATACTAAAATACAAATCTTTCCTCTTCGTTACCTATATCTATACTAATAAGGAGGCAAGATTTGTAACTTCCGATTTTTGTATGTATTGCAATAACTCAAAGACTACTGGAGCTATTTCAAAATTTTGAAATTCTTGCACCAATATAAAGCTATGTTACTTGTGAGTAACATAGGCTATGTTTATACCATTGTTTTTAATTTACACGGACAAAGTCCCGAGCAACAGCTAGTCTGCAATAAATGCATTGTTTACCTTTAATAGTTGTATTTGATAGTTCGTTTCTTTATCGTGGTAAGATTTTTTGTAGGAAAACAAACTTAGCTTTGGGCTATAATAACTTCAATAATTCTATGTTTAAAGTATGTCTGGTATTCTTGATAAAATTAACATAGTTAACCAAGTGTATAATGTGGCACAAGGATTACACAATAAAAAAAAAAACAAGATATAAACTGTGCCAAAAAAAGCATGGACCGAGTGTCTGTAAATGTTGATTTAAAAAAACTACGTGTATAGGCGGAGTGGGCGTGGGCGTGGGCGTGGGCGTGGGCGGGGGCGTGGGCGCGGCGGTGATCCAGCCGGCGCTGCTGACGGGCGGCGCGGGCGGGCGCGGCGGCGCGCGCGGCTGGCACGCCGCACTGGCGCTGGCGGCGGCGCTGCTCGCGCTCTCCGCCGCGTACCTCGCCTACAGGCTAGCACATACAGAGGTACGAGGATTTAAAACCTAGTCCCTTTCCCTTTTCTTATACGGACAACCGCATTTGAAGGGGAAATTTCCCCTTTAGGGTAGATAAAGCATCTGCAATTGACGATGTATATGTGAACATCGCTTCGGTTTCTCGGCGAATTTAGGTGGTACGGTGGCCACCTTATAATATATAAAAAAAAACGAAACTAATTCTCGTCATATTTTTACCGATTTAATGACCTGAGCCGTACGGTTTTCTTTTTAGATTTAATAAAATGACAATTTTTAAAATTTTTATATGTACATAATCTACCTGACGTTCTTACGGTGAAGAAAAACATCGTGATGCTTTCACATATCGGCGAAGAAATTCAAAGATATGTGTAAAGTCAAGCCGCAGTGGGGAAGCGTGGTTGACTATGGCCTAGTCATCCTAACTTAGGGTACTCTCCGAGCCCTTCAATGGAGACGTATATTGAGCCGGCGATGGTAATGATAAAAATAGACGCGGGCGAAAGTTAGTTGTCAATACTATTAAAATGTAAAAAGGATATTTTGTAATGTACGTTGTGTGTGCAGGAGCCGGCGCGGCTGTCGTCGGGCGGGCAGATGTACGCGGCGCTGGTGGCGTGGCGCTCGCGCCTGCACGGCCGCGCTGCCGACGAGCTGCACGCCTTCCTCTCCACCAACCTGCTGCTGCTCGCCAAGGTGACCGCCTCGTGTGGCATGTGTGGCATAACGCTACTAATCGTTTCACAATTATTAAATACCAGAAACACGCTGTTTATTAATAGTTCCTAAACATTAGTAATAATAAAATATAGCCTATGTTACTCACAGATAAATTACCTCTCTGATGGTGAAATAATTTTTAAAATCGGTCCAGTGGTTTTTGAGTTATTTCAATACACACAAAAATTCAAAGTTTTCCTTTTAATAATATTAGTGTAGATGTGTACAAATTCTCTAGGAGTTACAAATATCAGATTTTAAACGTCAGAATTCAGCACCTGATTTGATGACGTCACCGCCCGCGTGTGGCATGTGGCATATGTGGCATAACGCTACTAAACGTTTCACAAATGATATCAATAATTTAGATATGTGTACACATTCTCTACCCATTAGAAGTATCAGATTTTTTCGGCATCTGATTTGATGACCTCACGATGTTCGATCGGCCATTTGATGAATATCGATTCGAAATCGAATATTTTTCTAAATTAAACAATAAATCTTCCGATTGCGATGGTTTGATCGATCCAACGAGTAATATCCATTCATGTATTTAAACTTTCCTCTTAAAACTAACTGTAGTTTGCATCACGATATTAAAAAAATATTAAATACACGACCATTTCACGTTCCTTCACAATCTCTTTTGTTACTATTTCACTTATGTCGTTTCTTAAAATCTCTTATATTTCAGGTGCGACAATCTCTGGAGACATTGTCGGGTGTGATTCTGACCGACATGGGCCACGACGTGCCCAACGACACCGCCTTCAGTTAGCGCACGCCCCCCCACACTCCCCCCACTTGTACAGTTGTAATTGTACTGTTAATTGCATTCATTTGACTAAACTGTCCCAAAACTGTTTAGTCGCGTTTTGATTTCTATCAGCTTATATGGAGCACACTACTCGATTTTTAGTAGAACTAAACAGTTTTGGCTGCGAAGTGATAGTCGCACAACCGTTGTGCGATAGTTTAGTCATGTATGCGCCCGCTCTAATTGTACAGTTTCATTTTTAGTCAAATTAAGTCGATCCGGGATTATTTATTTATGAATCATATATTTAGGTTATTTTTATCTTTAGATCGAATTTATTTATATATTTCAAGTAAAAATTTAGACAAGTACAAAAATCGTCTAACAAGCGTCAAGATAAATAGTAAGAGGCAACCTGTTAATTTCGATTTGTATTTACTGCTATGTGCGACAGAGATAGCGCTATATTGATAAAAGGATGATGTCTCTTTCTAATATAATAAAATTTATTAGAAGTACCTCAAATGTAAATAACAAGAATTAGACAACAACTAGTGTAACCAATTTTATATCTTTTCCCCGGATCTGACATCGGTTATCATAGATACGCATTTATTTTTTTTATTCCGCTCGTCATTAGCTATTTAAAAATCAAAAATATCTTTATTTGTTTAGATGAGAATGGTTATAGTTTTAAATAGTCCTTATTTTAATACCCAAAGATATTCGGCGTGTGCCGCGTGACGTCAGCAAACTGCCTCTGAGGCATTATTTGTGTTAAACACAAAATAGGTTAAATGGTGGATGGGTGACCGCGCTAAGACTACGCGTCTCTTCTCATTGTAAAATAAGTGTCAAAGTTCATTTACGTCGCGAGTAAATCGACTTAATTCATTCCAATTCATTCTATTTAAATATAAAACATTCGAATGCTGAGTGAAATTATCTAGTGTGAGCGAGATGGAGTTATACCATTGCGATATGTGCGACAGAGAACACTTGTTTCTAATTTCGGATTCTGTGATTACTTTGTTGCTTGTATCTATTGAATTGCTTTAGTTCCACGATTCCATACATTTTATTTACAGCGGTATTATATTATGGTGCTAGTAAATAGTAAGATTTATCGACATTCCGGCGTTTTAACAGCCCAGTGACCTAAAGTCAAATAGCAAAAGTGTGCTAAAGAATTCTTGCCAATAACATACTGTATCATTATTAATCCATTTTTTAATATTTTTCACGATAACATTATTGTCATTTTGTATTATAGAATAGGGTATTTTATTATTAAAATATTGGTCCTTCGAGTCGGATTCTTACTTAACTCAAAGCGCAGTGAATATGTGCTAAAACATAATTAATGTAAAGCAAACATTCCCACTATCATTCCAACAAATGTTTGTGTTGATTGGAAATGTTTTATTGAATGAAAAAAAAAATATGACCACAAGATTTTCTGAGAATTTTTGTCCACAAATCTTAGGCAAAATTCACAATCTTTTTTTTTATTTAATTTCATGTCTTTTATTAGTGGTATTATTATATTTTTACCATAATTAGATACAATTGTCATAAATATTCGAATTTCTAAACACTTTTGTGCCCAAATATAATTATTAAAATAGTGAAGTACCCTATTTTATTATCATTCTAGTCTATAGCAAAGCTCAAGTAATGTTTTCGTGTCACTAGCTATGTACTTAATTTAAAAGTGTAAAAAACGTATTAATGCGAAGCAAATTGAACCTTATCACGTTAGTTTTACGGTCGTAAATACGACCAATGTAAAAGTTTTAACGCACTATATTGTACATTTATTGTAATATATTTGTAGTTCTACATTTTCTGTTTAAAGAATTTTAGTGCAATATTGATCATGTGATTAGTTGATATCGGTTTTAGATTTATTTAATTGTGACTTCATTACTGAAATAACTACAAATATAGTCGTAAACATCACTTATGAAAAAAACATAGTCTTACGAAATATGAAAAAATCCTAGCCAAGGATATCTCCATTAGATTACTTTGTATGTACCCAAAGAAAATCAGTTTCATATTTTACCGAAATATGGCAATAATTTTTATATTTCCGGTCCAACTATAACTGTTTATGTAGTTTTTTCTGTGATGGTAACACAACCGCTTAGGTTTTGTTTTGGGAACAATTGTTACCATTTCAACCAAAATCATTTACATTTTATTCTTACGTGATTTCTCGGATCATTTATATTGCCAAAGACGATTACTTAGATAATTCGAAATATTCATTAGTTGTAAACAAGTTTGTACAATATTTAATCTGTAGAAAAATAAATAGCGGTTCATTTGTACACATAGTTAAGTAAATTATAACTGCAATGTAAAAATAACGCATTTAAAATAATTCTTGTCCAACTTAAGCTTTGGTTTTTAATTTATTCAAACAAAAATGTTTGTACAGTCTGACCAAGAATATAAAAATTTCGGCCCAAGCTTCAATCGTTATTCGATACTTTCTAATGGCAATTTTTCTATTTCTGGTCAGGCTTTACATAATTTGTTTAATTTTGACAAAGAAAATCCAATTCAATACACTGTTGGCTTAATGTTTGTTGCAAAATATTTTTTTTTTATTTATTATGCTTGGACAACTTATTTGATACTAAAAGATTTGAATATTTCTAAGTTTGTGGTCGGGATAGTTGTCAATATTGTTGTTAAAGAGATAAATTGGTCATACTAAATACTTTCATAAACCTTATGAATTCGACGAATTTAGCAATATTATTAATTTCGTTAGAAATATTTAAACACATGCAAAAAAGAATTTCTATTCTATTTTTTGTTTATAGCTTTCCTTCAGCGGATTGAGCCAGTGTTGAATGCAAAAAAGAATTAAAAAGCCTTGAGACTTTAATAATTTTTTTCAATGAATTTGCAATTTAACGGTAATGTATTGCAGCGCCATCTATGTATTGATGAGTACAATTAATTTTTTTAATATTGAAAACTTTTAACAATAAATCGCAATTTGTGCCAATTAATGGTGATAAGCTCTCTTTTGGTATTATTGTCCAATTTTTAAGAAGCAATGTGCTAATTTCCTAGTTCACTTATGAACATGATTTATTCATAGATATTTCGTGTAAATTGTGACATTGTTAAATGTAGTCAAGAATTGATGTTTTTTCTCAAGTATTTAGTAAAACTAATAATCTATTTTGTTTTGAAAAAATGTCATTATATTTTTTCCCAGTTTATTTGTAAAAATATTGTTACATTTAATTTGTTGTAGAAGTAAAATTGTAAATACAGTAAATGGGTTGTTTGTTATTTAATGTAAATACATAATTGATATATTTTATGGTTGTTTTATTTACTTGAAAAGTTTTTGCTCTAACCTGCGAAGTTACAAATTGCTAAATATGTTCTTCTTTAGAATGTATTTTAAACCAAATATCTATACTAATATTATAAAGAGAAAAGATTTTTAATTTTGTATGTATTAAAATAACTCTAAAACTACTGGGCCAATTTCAAAAATTCTTTCACCATTAGAAAGGAAAGGTATCTGTGAGTGACATAGGTGATATTTTATTATTACCGAAGTTGAGGAACTAATAATAAACAACATATTTCTGGACCACGGCGTTAAAAAATCGCACTTTTTGGCTTACGCTGCCTAAACCGTTAGAAATATATAAAAATAATGTATGAAAGAATTGTAGATTCTCAAAAAGTTTACGGTTTTCTTACAATAACTACTTTTTTGTTTACAAAATGAATTAAATCCTTATTCAAATAAATGCGTTTGTTGCCAGAATTTAATGTAGAATAAAAATGCCCTTTACAGTATTTATATCACGAACACAAATAATATGGGTAACCGAAAAATCAGCTCACAAACTATCGGGCTTAGAAATTTGAAATCTGACATCAGTAGTTTTCTGTTATTACGTAGATTACTCCTAAGATACATTAGGTAATTGGTTGAAAAAAGGTGCGAACGCAAGTTTTGAACTCCACGCGGATGAAGTCGTGGGTAACAGCTAGTTACAAATAAAATAACAATGTCTTGGCATTACAGAGCGTCGGTGGCTAAGTGGTTTAAGCACTTGACTTGTAATCTATAGGTCTTGGGTTCGAATCCCGCCATGTACTAATGTGATTTTCGATTATTCGAATTTTCATATGTACATAATTTACCCGACGTTCTTACGGTGAAGGAAAACATCGTGATGCAACCTGCTCGTATCGGCGAAGAAATTCAAAGATATGTGAAAAGTCAACCAACCCGCACTGGGCCAGCGTGTTTGACTATGGCCTAGTCACCCCTTACTTAGGGTAGGCTCCGAGCCCCTCGGTGGGGACTTATAGTGAGCTGGTATTGATGAATTACGACATTTAAACAATACATTTAATTAAATAGAAACATACAAGTACTTACAATTTTTAATAGTTTAAATTTCAATGTAACTACAAACAAGCGTAACAAAACAATACTTTTCTCATTCAACAACATTTTGAATAACATTTTTAAATATTCATTAAAATCTAAAATTTTGTTCATATACGAAACAATTAGATTTAAAAATGCGCATTTGAATCCGGTTCTGTTGAAAACTGAAGTAATAGAATGTCTTTATGTTTACTGAATGAACAATTGATCAGTTTAGTAAATATTTAAAGGGAACTATTGGGACGGTACTTATGCGATACTACTACTACGAAAACTAGGTTTTTGGAAAAAGTATTTCTTTAAAGAGAAACCTAGTGAGATACAGGCTGATTAAGGACGGATCACAGATTTTGTGGAGTTATTCCAAAATGGAAACGGTGCAAAAGCCTAATATTACGTATGTTCAATAACTTTTAAACTATAGAAAATCGGTAAAACACTGCGCTTAAAAGATTCTATTGAGGTCTTCTACCTCCATTAAGCTTGTAATCCGTCCGTTAAAATCACCTGTGTAATGGTACAAGGGCAAAATTATGATACATCAAATCTTTCTTGTATGTTATTTCTTTTTGGAGAGCGTCCGCTGCTTCTCTGCGTGTAAGACTAACTGTCTGTCGGTGGCGAGTCCTTTGCGCGCGCGCACCGCGTCCACGTACGCCTTGGCGCGGTTGACGCCGTCCCACTTCTCTCCCCAGTGCAGGTACTCCTCCTCAGTACGCGGCTGCCAGAACGGATCTATATTGATCACCTAAAAAAAAGATCTGATTAAAAAAAGTCCCTGACATGTGATTTTGTCAAGTGTAAAATGGGATTATTTTGATTGTTCATGTGATTCGATAACAGATGGCGTTAGTCGTTTGGTAAAACAATTTGAACGGCCTTTAATAAAACACAAAGTGGTAATAAAATGCATTCTCACCTCCCAATGGCTGAAGAGTAGCTGCGGCGCGGCGAGGCCGGAGGTGTGCGTGCGCAGATCGATGGCGAACCGAAAGCTCTCAGCGACGGGCAGCAGCGCCGCCACGCGGAAGGCCGCTGAACCACTCTGCAGGTCGCCGCCCACCACGCGTCCTCCGCGCCGCCCCAGCGCGCCGTACAACTTACCTAAAGATATTCAAATTTTATGTTAACCCTAAGTTAAAGGTTTGATCTTAGATCTTCATACTTGTAACATTGCACAAAACACAATTTTAGGTACAAGCCCTATGAAATTGAATCTTGTTAGGCCGAGGCATCTTACCTAGTAAGATTGCCGACTAAATAAAAACGGCACGAGTTAAAACGAACGACACAAGCTTATTAATAACATAATGACAAGTATACAAATGGAATGTTATGACCGTTTTCTTGAAAACAAACTAATTTTCCATAAGCATGTCACCGATTCGATGCCCACCGCGGCACGTGTCTATGTGACGCGTGTATTACACGTGTAGTATAACAGCGTGCTTCGGCCGTTAAATTATCATCATATTGAAACTATTAAATCCAAAAAAATCCTTTCATATTTATAACTATACATTGTAGATTAAGAATGTATCGTATAAACGGGTAAAGATATGCTAATACACGTACATATAACTTTATTGCTTATGTTACAAACTAAATTTAATGACGTAACATAATTAAGTTCAAACACAGACTATGTATAACGAGGGCTGTATTTACACGTGTCGGGAATTAGCTGATCTTGTAATTACACTCTGAAATCGATACTATGGTGTTAAATTCAACACTTCCTTTGCTACAATTAATTAATCAAAAAATTACTGCGCTGTTTGTAACTTTTCACGTTTTACCTTGAAATTGTATAAGTAAAGCAAAATTTCTTACGTGCAAAAGTTTCTGGTTAATTTAAAATAATCCTAATAAAATTATAATGCAAAAGGTTAATTGGATTGTAGCTTGTTAAATTTTGTAGAGTAAAATGCAGAACGGTTCTTCAAAAAACTTGGCATAAATGTAGAGGTTAGTCTGGAAGAACACATAGGCTACGTAATTTAGTTTTTTTTTTAATTCGATGTGGACGGAGTCCCGGGCGTAAACTAGTATTTCAATAAAAGGTTTCTTTCGAAAGTCCCTAAATCTCGATGTTCTAAATTATCCAAGAGAGAGGTGAAATTAGTGGTTAAGTGAAGACCACAGCCGGCCAGGCGGCTCGCGGTCGCCGCGCGGATGTGAAAAAATAACAGGCCAAAAAAGTTTGCCCCCACGCGATCGTTTCACAAAATATTTAGTGGCCAGTCGACTAGAAAAATTCTTGCTCTGTTAAATCATTCGCCGTGGCCATTTTGAGATTAAAGGGGAACTTCCGGCGGCCGCGAGCATCCGGTTTAAGATTCCACTCAGCCTTAACGTGTTTTTATATTCCACGAAAACAAATAAGTGAGAGGTTGTAGTGCGTGCCGGTCCCGTTGCAGCCGACGGCGCGCTCATTGTGCGACTCTCGCTGGAGGAGGAACGCTCTGGAATGGAATTTGTCATCACCAACACGGCCCGGCCCCGGTTCGGCGCCGCGCAGTACCGTTCACTCAACATTTCTTTAAAAGTTCATGTGTTTTGTTTTACATTTTAACTTCGATTTACAATGACATGAATTGTAAAAGAACACGTTCATAGTTTGAAATATTTAAATGTACCATTTAATTCTATTACAATCAAGCATTTGTTTATTTATATTAACAGACATATAACCATACTTCAGTTAATAACATCGCATAATAGCATGACCAAATGTAACTGAAGTATCTTCATATGAATAAAATTATCCTATCCAATAAATGTTTCTCAAAAGCGAAGGCAATGCCTTCGTTCTCTCCGTGAAGCTCGTTAGCGCACTAAGCAACAGAAAGTGGCTCCTCTCAATGGATTTTAATGAACTGTGTTTTACATCTGTACATCGTCTTTCATACATTGCAATTTTATTTTATCTTTAGCGCTACAAAATGTAATAATTTTCTACATGTCTACCTATATGATGAATATCTTACCGCAATTAAACTTAATTTTTCCATTGTTGTAAAAGTGTTATATAAAATGAAGTGCTATTGCATAATAGGGTATCAATGTACCAAAACTTTATTTAAGAAAAGAGTGTTTTATCTATACTAATATCATAAAGAGGAAAGATTTGCATTTTTGTATGTATTGAAATAACTCAAAAACTACTGGGCCGATTTCAAAAATTCTTTCACCATCAGAAAGGTCATGTTTCTGTAAGCAACATAGGCTATGTTTTCCTATTATTATTTTTTATTTCATGCGGGCGAAGTCGCAAGCAACAGCTAGTAAGAAATAATTTGGAATTCAAGACATTTAGTGTTAATTGGCTTCGACAAAATACAAAATGAATTTCCAAGCATTAGACTTCCGTCTAACTTTGGGGACAGCAATGCTTTAAAATTGACAATAATTACTGTAAACTGCAGGATATATATATAGAAAATGGTCAAAATAACACAAAGGGAAATGCATTTATGTAACTCGGAAATTCGCAACTCATCGGCAGAGCAGCTACCGTTTTTTCTCTGCTGCAAGTCCGTTGCGGCCTATATACCTATCCGTTAACAACGCAGTTATCTCCCGCTTCCGAGGCGAGCACGTCCGGCTGTCCGCTATCCCGGACATTTTTAATAAGCTCTGCAACTGTCGCGTCCGTCTCACACACGACCGCCTCACATACCGGACATGAGTATTGCCGTCGAATTTTTTGAATTCAGAAAATTCCATTGTAGGAACAAATAAAAGACAAAAAGATTATTTCATGAAATGTTTTACATGTTCAAAAGGTAATTTTCGACATATTCTACTTTGAAATATGATGAAATATTAATAAATATTATATTAAAACATTTCTCAGACATAACGTTTATTAAATAAATTATTAAAATCGTAATATTATATTCAGTGATATTAAGTTTCCAAATTACTGTCAAACTTATCGTTTATTGATTGAAAAATCGTTAATTTAAAAACCATTTATATTGTAATACGCATTAAGATACGTAGAAAAGGGGCGTGTAATATTTACAAAATACTTTGATTATAGATAAACGGACTAGACTTAGACTTCTATTATACTGAATAAATTCTACTTTAGAAGATATGCCGACACGTGAAATCGAAACATCTTTACGAACGCGTATTGATTCAAAATTATACACACTGAAAACCAATACACAACATTTTACAACATATTATTTGTTTTTATTTGGCAGTGGAATTCAGCGAGCATTACTGTTTTATACCATTAACAGGTCCTGTCTCTTCAAAGTCATAGACAAAATATGTATGGTGTCAAGAGGCGCGTTCCCACGGCGCGGGCGTCTCGTGGCGCGCGACTCTACACCATGCCAATGACCATGGTTCCGCTTTTTCGCGATCGCTGTGTGAATTATAATAACATATTAACATGTCGCATATTTTTTCGCATAACTTGCTCGCATTAGGCTTGTCCGGTCTTAAACACGGATAACCCTCTCTCTTATCTTTGACTGTTATTTATTCTTTTTGTAACGGTCATCTGTAAATGTTGTAATAAAAAACAAATTCTTTAGCCATTTGAAATCTCTATCATTTAAAACATAGACTATATTTTATTACAAGTAAACATTTTTCTATGGAGTTTTTCCGAGCCCGTGAAGTCAGGCGAAGCTGGGATGTATACCTAGTGTTAATCAAAAAATATATATTTACTCTCTACCTACATCACTAAACCTTCATATCGATACGTAGGATGCAAAACTTTATAGTTATATTTTCATTGCGCCATGAGTTCCAATCGGCAAGGTGAACTGGGCGCCGAAGCGAACGGCAAATGGTGTCGCGACAGCATGGAGCATTGATGTTGCCTTTATTATAAGACTAGCTTTCTCCCGCGATTCCATCTGCGCGCAATTAAAAAAAATATACTGGAACAATATCAAATTTAACGAACTGGCATTCTAATTTTTCCCGATCCGTAAAGGAAACAATTTAAGTGTTAATATAACGGTTTAAAAATATTTTTTTTTACTCTATCGCACTTCAGTCTGCCTATTAACATGGCGTATGCAACTGTGCCGAAATACAAGGAGCTAATACAACCCAATAGTGGTAAGAAACCCGTATCTTACGATCAATATAATTAAAAAGTTATTTATGTACACGTTATCAAAGATGATACTGAAAATATGTTATACCTTCTGAAGAAGGTCATACTTTTGTGTGGGCGAAAATAGCTGCTGCGCGTGTACATTAACTACTGTGACTTTAGACTTTATTTAACATGAAAAAAACTGTGTACTTTCAGCTATAACATAATTTTATGACAGTGAACAATCGAGTTTATTGATTAAAATATATTTGTGTAGAAAGTATACGCTATCAAAAGATTCACAATTAATTTGAGCTTGGATTACATTTATAACATTTAATGAACAAAACGTAACTCTCTTTCAATGTAATTATCAAATTATAAAAGAAATAAGTCTAACTAGAATTGGTAAGATAATGAAATAAGCAACAAAACGAATATTTGAAATCTTGCAAAGTTCAAAGTTTTAGTACACTGCTGTATCTTCACACAGAAGTGTAGAGGTCTTCACCTCTTACACGTGGATACATTTTCCTCGTGCTCAAAGTAAGAAAGGATCTTAAATAGATGACCCTGTAATAATTTCCTGAACAGATACTTTAGGATGACTCTTAATAAAATTACCAATAAAGTTAATAAATATAATAAAAACTATAAATCTAGTGACTACAAATTATTTAAAAGGAAAAAGTAATGCGAATGAATTATGCTTTACTATAATAGTAAAATAAAACATACAAATGTAGATAAACTGTGAATTAAGATTTGACGACTGATAAATAAATAATCTGTGTAAACTCTCTATAAAAAAAAGAAATAATTCATTTAATCTTTGTAAAATTTTATGCAACATTTCGATCTTTTAGGAATAACTCAACCGGATATATCACTTCTAAGTAAAGAACAATATCTTAACAAGGAAGTAACAATAGATTTGAGTGCGCGTGCCTATTCTCCCCTTCCCTTGAAGGAAGTAGAAAAAATGCACACTCGAGTCTCAAGTGGTCTGTAACAGGCATTGTTTGACACAAAGACAAAGTCCTCAACAGAATGGATGCTGTCTTATCAGTACCATTCTTATATTCAAGTGCATCGTAAACGTGCATACCTTACGAAGATTAGGTAAATAAAAATATCGAATAGTTCTTTGTTAATCCGGAAATATTGTTTGCGGTGAGATAGAACAATAATAATAAATGAAATATGGATAGAGATACAAAGTCTTTGACAGTATTAAATTGGCATTTTTGATTGCTTTGATTATATGTGGTTGTAAATTGCACAATAATATACAGCTTATGCTGTTCTTAGTCTTTAAACATTATAGATATAAAAAGCATCTACAATGCTTAAAAGTGCATAAATATTTGCATATAATGTAATTGCGATGTGCATTAGCGAAGTAATCAGTTATGCGGGCACATAGACGGTGGAGCGACCACGTGTCGCGTTCAATATAATGCATGCACCGGCCCGACCCGGCCAGCACTACGTACATTTCCCGATAAACATAACTCGATACAAAACAACACATGTACATACAGCCAGTATCTATAGTAAGATAGCGACTGTCCATTCATTCATAAGAAGCAGTTCATTCATGCGGGCGCGTTGGAGGTGAATGGGAGCGAGCGAGACGCAGCATAAGTAAGGTCGCGTTACAATGGGAACTCTTTGAATTCTCGTGAATAGGAGGTTAAAATCCTATTCTACGAAATGTTGAATGACAGTGTTTTGTTTTAAAACAATTGAACACAAGGAGTTGCGGGTGTCTTGTTGAAAGCTACTTGCTAGCATTGTGTTAGCCCGAAGCTATAATTTAAGCCTTTAAGTACTTCTTTTATATTGAACAATGTACATACTTACTCATATTAATATAAATAATAAAGAAAGTATATTTGAATTTAAGAATATCAATGAAAAATAAAACACATAATTAAATGTATCAATCCAATTGATTCTGTTGCCCATTCAATTTTTTTTTGTATTCTATGAATTGACCTTGTTTAAGTCATTTTCAATTTAATCTATTTTATCGCAGTTAGCGCAACTTGTGCGCGCAGCTTTACACCGGAGCAACAAGATTGTGTAAAAAACACCATCGGTAGGAAGTCAACCCGAGTGTTACTTAATCATCTTGATACTCACAATGTGTTACTAATATTTAAACTTAAAAACCGTTATGGAATATACTTTTATTCTTATATTCATTTTGATATGCAAAAAACTATAATTTGTATTCTAGTTATGTTACGATATAATATTTAACAAAAAAGTCACCAATTACTACAAGTGTAGTTAAACAAGAATGCTAAATTAATTACCAATATTCTATGAGCAGACAAAGCGCGGAAACATGTAAATAAATATTTGATTGTTTAGTTTATAATTTAATATGACTATTCATAAAATTGTACTTTCAATGTATTTCTACTGTACTCTAAATAAAACGTCTCAAGTTTTTAATCTTACACGCAATAACATCATAGTTTATTACAGCCATAAAGCATTATCTATTTTAAAAATAACTTTTGTAAAAAAAAACTTTTCCCCTCAATTCTGAAATAAATATAAAAAAATAAAAAATTCCTTAAAGTACCAAGACGTCTCGATCGCAGTCCGAGGTGGTTATACCGAGCGCGTAGGCCAAGTCGTACCTGGTCCGGCGCGCCCGCGGCCCGTCGCCAGTACGAGCTTGCCCGAGCACACGACACGACCCGCGCACCAATACACATACCGCGCAACACGACTCAACGACCAACTCGGCAACACCAACACGATTCACCACCAACAGTACACCAGTGCGTTAGTGATGCAAGTGTTAGCCACACTCCTGATGGCGACTGTCCTCGGTGTCGTACGAGGAGTGATCCGGACGCCCTTAGAGGCGTTCAGGCCTTCGGGTGAAATACATCTAAAAAGGCCGGACAAACTGCCTCTTCTGCCGCACAGGAGAACCGCGATGCAAGCGAAAAGCGGACTCAAGATATTATATCAGATTGGGGTAAGTTTTTATTACTATAACTTATTTAGTTATTAAGCGATAACTAGATTTCTGCATAATGTAACTTATACGACAGTTATTTAAGGGATTTCCTTCAGGCATAAATTGTTTTTGAGTCATTTAGGAAAAATCTGATTTTTCCTTAATATTTTTTGGCGCCAAAATGTGTTGTAGTTGAAGTGACTTATTATTATAAGTAATTCGTCACTATTTATGTCAAGATAATACGTTTCTAATTCCGTACCATAAAACATTAAAATATCTAGGTTTTAGCATAAGAGGTTTCTCTTAAAGTCGCTAACAAACATGATTGCGCTATGAGAAATTGTTTCGGTTTGTTAGTTTAACATTGTACTGCTTTAAAATTATGTATGTAATTATGCATTTTTAAAAGACAATATTTATATTTGCCTATTTATACATATATCTTAGATCAAATGAATATAAGTAATCATTATTGACCGCGAAATTATTTAGACTAAGACTAGAAGCAATTTAATAATAGTAAATTAAAGAAATTATAAATTGAAGATAAAAAGGGCTAACCGTCAAATTCGTAACATGAACCTTTACCACTGCATATACAAACAGGAAAAATGTAACCATACTTTGACAAAGTTCCTATCAAACGTAGTAATTTCTACGTTTTTTTATAAATAAAGCATGTCAACGTTACATTTCTTTGTCGATTTGAAGATAATCACTACAACCGTAAAACGTAATAACGTATAAACATATTTTATTTTTAGCCATCCGTTACAATGGAAAAAGGGCTTTCACACTTTATCTATAGAATCGTAATTCGTAAGCTGAGTTGTGTATGATTAAATACGGCATTATAAAGTCGGTGTTGTAAGCGGCCGCGTAGGCATGTGTAACTCCGGTAGCGGCAGGTGTTCATTCACTCTTTCTTATCTTGACAACTTCGATGACTTACGGCCGAGCCCCGCTCTCGCTCCCGATCCGTATTATTTGCTTAAAAAAAACGTTTTATTTAACTTTAGATTTAGATTTATTTATAAAACTTGTTGTTTTATTTAACTATTTTTAACTTAACGGTATGACTTACTTATGAGAAGGAATGAATCGCATGTAACAAGAAGAACGTTAGTTAAGAATGTGGAGGGGTCCACCGGTAGAGGTAGACCTAGAAAGAGATGGATGGATTGCGTGAAAGGAGACATGATCAAGAAGGGAGTGATGATTGAGATGACGGATGATAGAGTTTTTGGAAGTCGAAAAGCCGGTGTGCCGACCTTACGGGAGTAGGGTAAGGCAGGGGAGATGATGAGATGATAGGTAACAGGATTTTAAACAATATTTTTGAATTACATGTCGGAAACAACTGCCACTTTGTATAAATACATTCAAATGATTGATGAATTTATTGTAGTCAGGGTCAAATATAGCTCAATAGAATAATAGACTTGCAATTTGCCTATCATATTTTACAAATCACTTCCTAAATCCTAACTATTTGTATACGTTAGTTAAAATAACGGTCAAAATACTGGCCAACTGAAATCTTGTTCAAATTAACTAAAACTCTCAATAATATTATGCGACTAACTCTGAAGCTATTTGATTTTTAATTCCGTCTGTCTCTTGGTTAGCAAACCAATTCATTTAATAGCTGTTACCGTAGCGTTTTAATTAGTTGTTTAGAGATTATTTTTAGGTGTTTATTTTATAATGACATGACAAGTCTTGTATAAATTAAAGAAAACATGACCGGAGTTTGCCGGCGAAAGTAAAATGTGAGTTGTATTAATGTAGTGTAAATATCCGATAGGAAGGTAGGAACGGATACCTACGTCCGCGGCGGACGTAACGGGAGTCGTATGTCCAATGCACAACGATTAACACCACTTATTAAGTAAACATGGATTTTAATTAACTAATTTATAAATAATAATTTAAACGGCACTTTAAACTCTATATCTTACTAATATTATAAATGCGAAACTTTAGATGGATGTTTGTTAGAATTTGTCATAGATGTAGAGGATAGTCTTGAAGAACACACAGACTACTCATTTTGGCTCACTTTAATTCCTCACGGACGGAGTCGCGGGCGAAAGCTAGTAAAGTATAATGTTAATAACAGTGATCTAATCATAAATGCGAAAGTTAAGATGGATGTTTGTTAAAATATGCCAGCACTGTTCAAAGAATCTTGTTGAAATCTAACATAGATGTAGAACATAATCTAGAAGAGCAATGCCATTATTTTTTTTATTTAACTCCTATATAAGGATCAAACAAGAACGTATGTTTATTGAAAAATATACTAACGAAATGTTTTTTTAATGTCAGATTCTGCAAATAGTCCTAAAGTAAATGCTATGGATTGTAAAGGGATATACACTCATCATCCACTTGCCCTTATCCCTTATGGAGGGTCGGCACAGTATGTGCTGCTCTTCCATACATCTGTCGTATCTGCCGTCATATCTGAATCCAATCCTTTCTTAAGCATATCCTCTTTCACACAATCCATCCATACTTTAAGGGATATACACTAATTTTCGTTAATGTTTTGATAATAGAACGATTTATTAAATAATTCTTAAAGATTTACGGCAGTATTCAATACCATCTAACAGCTAGTAGAGAATAATAAATCTGTTTGAATTCTTATTGCGTCTGTTTTCGTTAGTTTTCACGATTGTCATTTTCATATACTAACCTTTTTTGATTAATGTATATCGCGATAGGTGTGCAGAGTAGTGTTGAGGTCATGTCATTATTCAATCCGGTCTCATTGAAGTCATTAAAGATGGACTGGGGGAGCTGAGCGTCAAAGTTAACGCGCAACTACAGTTTATTGCAAATCTAAATCGATATTATGTATTTTTTTTTCTAAATGTGTACCGATGTTTATTTATTTAGTTTAAAAAAATCGGTTATAAGTGTTACAAGTAAAAAACATAGTCTCGTAAGTACCAATCGTTTACACACTATATAATTTCATTTGAAATGTTTACAAATTAATTATGCACCCAACGCACACAATAAAATATATATTTTCAACACAATAATCCAGAGCAGTTTTAAACTGTTGAATAAAACAAAAAGACAACTTTACTTAGCATTTGAAACAAACTAGTGCCAATACAATCTACGAAGTTAGAATTATTCAAAGGTTTTGCCAAAGAGTTTTATTGAATTAACAATGTGTAATCAGTTAATATCAATCACGGTAGTAATATTTTAAATTTCTCTTATAATAACGTTAATAAAAAACGTTGTGAACTTCACGTATTTACATTGGACATAACGAAAAAGCTAATTTTTGAATGTTTGTCTGTCTGTCTGTTCTAAGTATGTTCGCAATATTCAGTGGGACTGATTTTCAAGGAGAGCTAATAACGAAAATTTTTTAGAATACTTTTTTTGTAATTCACGAGCGACTGCTAGTTTTACAAATAAATTATATATGATAAACGGATGATCAAAAACAAAAGCATATGAGTAGTCGAGTCTTCGATATTTGAATTATGTTGGCAATAGAATTGGGGGCCAGCATCCGTCTCAAGCGAGCCACGTGCGACTTGAATAGGGCCCCGGATGACTGCAGTTACAAAGGAGACGAGTATTTAATACGCACTTACATTTATATGGCCCTAACATGTACTTCGCGATGTCTAATTGTATATTATGCCTTCTTAATAAAATGTAAACATTTTGTTGTTAGTAAAATAATCGTTACTAAACTTTAAAAACACCGTAGGAGTGGTACAAAATTCATATATGGTTTAAAAAAAGTTTTCATATATCTTAACGTAAATAAAAAAATACATAAATCTAAGTTGATTGAACTAAATAACAGGATAAACAAAAAAGTTTAAAAACTCATAAAAACAACGGTAAGTAACAACATTGTTTCTCGGCTTAGACGTTGACAGCGTTGAAATCTTTTATATGAGACAACTTACGAGTACATCCGTGCTAACGCTTAGTACTTAATTACCATGGTAACTTAATTATTAAAAACTTTATTAATAAAACAGTAAGAACAATTGAGGAATAAGAATATTTTAATACAAATTGAGGATCACTAATGACCCAATATTAAAAACTTAGCATAGATACATTTATGTATCAAGAAGAAAAAGTCGAAACAAAACGTTGAAAAAACAAGAGCCGTGCTTCGGGCGTAACTTATAATTACGGTGTAATAAATAACATGCAGCCTCCGGCGATAAGATATTACGTATATTTGTAATTTGTTCTCGGCTACCTGTGTTCCTGTGAGCCAGTCCACATCCGGTCGGCACACCCCGCGCCGCGCACCCCGCACTCCGCACCCCGCGCACAACTCACTTTGATTCTAATTATTTAAAGCAATTACATACTTCTTTTGTTTTCCTAACATTTAAATAATCGAACTCAACAAACGTAACGTTTATTGAGAATAAATAAACTACTTTTAATCTTTAAAAATATGATTTATAACCTTCTAACTTTCGACCGCGACTCCGCGTGTAAAAAAAAACTAATTTACCTTTGCACTCTTCCAGACTGTCCGCTACATCTATGCAAAATTTCATCGATATCAGTTTAGCATTTTAGACTATACACTCTTACAAACATCCATCTATCTAAACTTTAGCATTTGTAATATTAAGTAAGAAGCAAGATAGACACTTATCCAGATTAAATTGGACTCGATCTTAGTAAAAAATAAATATTTACAAATACGTTTTATAACATGTATTACAAATATAAAAATATATAAAAATTAGAGATAAAATATGAAATAAAATTACAGATAATAAACGACAATACCGCTGTATTATAGCTAAGTTATAAACAGGAAGTTGTAGAAATTGGACACGTAAATAGACGCGTTTTGAAATGCTTGGTTAATGGTAGGGCAGTGTTTTATTTCTTAGTCAAGCAGCAATATATCTTGCTGGCACATCAGTTCTAAAATAACATATATATTAATTACTAGTACTTACGCGACTCCGTTCGCGTGAAATTAAGAAAAAATAATAGTGAGTTGTCTATGTGTTCTTCCAGACTATGTTCTACATATATGCCAAATTTAATCGAGGTCCGTTCAGCAGTATAGGCTACAAACTTTAACAATCCAACCATCCATCTAAACTTCCGCATTTATAATATTTAATTAGAAAGTAAGATTTAAATATACAGGATGATGTCTCGATTATAGATCATCGCTGATGATTTTTTGCTATTCTATTTAGGAAGGAGTTTTAGATATTTGCTAATCGTTTAAAGCAATTTACCATCTCATTCAACAATGTAAAATTAAGGTAATGTTTGACCAGTAACATGTTTAAATCGCGCCTTGGGTTTCTTTTTTAAAGCGTTATCGCATGACCTTAGGCTGGCGTGGGATATGAATAGGCCGCTTTGAGAAGGTTGTGTAAGGTCAGCCAGGCGCACGAATAACAAATTATTTGATTAGTGGGTGCGGTGGCGAGGCGAGGCAAGGAGCGTGCGCCCGCGCCGCCACCTGTCCACGCCGGATGCAGCCCGATCTCCCCACTTCCCCGCCCCCGCCCTCACATCATCCACCATCTTACTTGCACTCTACTGAAATACCGCTTTACAAATCATCCGTCCCTTTCCATTTCAGAAAAGGACGCATATGAAATCCTTTAATAATGTCGCCCCCGGCTATCGACGCAATCTTGGACCTTTCAAAAACTTACAACCTCAACGTCCTCGGACGACTTTTAAATATTTAATTGGCATTGTGCTAAAAGTTGTAAATACGAGTTGTTCAATCAAAAATAAATATTAAAAAAAAATAATACAAAGTCAAGATATGTTTTTATGTAAGCCACAATTAGAAGAAAACTTTACAAACAAAATTAACATCCACTCTAAATGACAACTAGTCGGGTCTATTTGTCTACAACACAAAAGGTCTATATCCGTCCGCCTAAAGCACCGCTGGAGATGGATTCTATGAAATGTACAACAACAAACAACAGGAAGTATATCCGGAACAAAGAAAAAAACTTTAGTGTTCATACTATTGAGGTTTTTAGAATCCAAATCTAATAGAATCCCTAAAAACTATCAGAAATACACGAATATTTGACTCTTATATTATATCTTCTTTGTGTTGTATATTTTTTAACATACATCATATGTATGTACCTATACAATTAACAAAACGGTAAATTACATTTGATATTTCAAGGTGTAATTTCTTCTCATCTATATTAAAACATTTAAGAGTAAAGATTGTACATTTTTTAATGAATAAACTCAAAACAACTAGATTGTTTACAAAAATTCTTTGGCCACTAGAAAGCTACATTATCACTTAGTAACATAGCCTATGTTTATTACTAAATGTAAATAAACTTATATTTAAACCTAGCATTTTATTAACTTACTCTAAGTTCTGAATATGAATTTATAATCATCTTTATTCAACAAATCAAAGTGTACACCGTAACAAAACATCTGGCACTGACCCTAGCAACGGAATGTGGCAGAAAAACTGTTCTCACAGTTAGCAGGTTGCCAAATGGCGCGTCTTCCGGTCGGAAGTACAACCGATGCTCTCTTTGAAAAAAAAACATCAATGGATTGTAAACGCACATGTTCCTATATCCGTGTTTAAGTCCCTTTCGGAAGTCTCCTTGTTAAGATTTATATTATGTTTGTGTTGTATTGATCGAGAGTAGAAATATTCCCACGGGCAAGTGCGTTTTACAATTTACTCTGTTACTATCAGTGCGCATGTAAAATTTTACTGCTGCAGCGAATCAAGAATCGTTCAATGTATACATCGATGCGAGCTGAATTGTAATAGAAATCGATTTTGAATGCAAGCCAACACTTGCGGGAAGTTCCTCGTAATATACATGCAATTAATTGTTTTTTGTCATGTTTATTAACTTGTGAGGTCATTGAGTTGATAATTTAACATTTTTCAATAAATTAGTTTAATAAGATAATGTAGTGTTGGCGCCAAATTAAACCTCTTTTTTACTTCATTATAATTTAGTTTTGTGCTAAATACATCATATGACTGTTTATTTAAATTATTACCAAACACACAGTTTCATCAAATTAGTCTCTTAATTACTTGATAGAATGCAACTTAAAGTAACCATCTACCTTAAAAGTTTTTTTAAACGATTTCATCAAACAAATTTGGCAATTGTTCATTCAGTTGCGATCATTAAACGATGAAAAGATGTGTAGGATGTTGTATTTATTGTATTTATTTGTGTTACAGATGTCAGAGGAGGATCTGCCGGAGTGCCGAGCGCGGCAGGTGTGCAGTAAGGCCGACCTGTACGACGCCGCACAGCCGTGGATTGAGAGGAAATGTCGGTGTTTAGGACACAAGCCTTGTTCCAGGTAAATAAATATACTATAAAATCAATTGATGATATAATAACATCAATATAATATAGATTGGTAGTGCACATTGTCTCGATCCTTCCTTCGAAGGGACAGGCCAATCACAATAAGTATGATCACAAAAAGCTGTATCTAGTTATCAAACACTAAGTTACTTGAAATCAAAGTACTTTTAGAGTAAAATAATTTATCGTTTAAAGAATTTTATTATATGAACTATTTATATCAAGCACTTATTTTACTTCGTAGATAACAATTGCGATCAAGTCAACAAACACGATCATTCGTAGAACCATAAAGCTTTAATCTAAAAACAAGATAACAAAGTTCTATGAATATGTGTCCTCGGACGAGCAGTTACAATAATAAGCTTTTGTTTTTGAATGTATAGGTACATAGTAAAAGTGACTGAAGTATCACTTATTACTTTCTATCTATGCTTACTACGACATCCGGCGACTAAATCAACTTATTTTTAACGTGAGTTTAAACCGAAACAAGTACAAAATATAGAAAGAGAGACAAATGTGTTTTGTAAGGACAGGACAGTTTGATATGTTTAAAATTTAATCGATGTATGTTTCTATTTCCAGTGAGCTGTCAGCAGATGATAACCATACATTATCGGACAAAACGACACTATACAAGACGTGTGAGCCAATCAAGAGATTGCCAAAATGCAGATATTTCAAAGACGCTGCCTGGACGATATACTCTTTCCCTGACACCAACGCAACGCAGCAGATCGTCAATTGTCACTGCCCGAAAGCCTCTATGACGTATTTGCTCAAGAAACTCTCTTACACGACAGCTAGCGGAGAACTTGGAAATCAATATCAATTCGCGTGCTCGCCGCTAAGCGTAAGTATCTCATTACCTACCAAAAGATGGCGCTATTTTTATTTCCTTGGTAAAATATTCGACTTGCATCATAATACCACTGTAAAAAAGATTGTGTTGTATTAAAAAATAACTTATGAGGCATGTTTATAACAATCTAAGTGTTCCTAAGTAAATCAAAGTTGGGAGGTCAAGTAGGCACCGTTAGATTTATGATCCACGACAATAACCTCATTATCTATCACGTTTAAATAAGTTCCGCTAAAAAGTTTACAAGACCTTTGACCTCTTAAAATGGCGTAAATGGCTAAGATTTTTTCTAGTAAGGTTTTAATTAATTATGAAAGTTAATGGACTAGAAATTTAAAGCATGTTTTAAAACTACGAAAGTACTTTTTTCCGATGTAAACTAAATTTTAATGGTACTTTGAAAAAAAAAAAGATTGATGTAATTTGAAAATAATTTTATCTTTATCTATATGTACCTAATTGAATGATGCTAATTTTTACATTTCAAAATTACAGAGATTGCGGTGTTCGAGGAAAGAGCCTTGCAAGTTGTTCAGTGTACGTCGGCGACACGAGCAGATCGACGAGGTGAACGCCAGTACGATCTGCCAGTGCCCCCGCGAGCACACGTGCCCCCGCCACCACACGGAACCAGGCGTGCTCCCTGGGGTCACGTACGCCGCCGAGGACATCCGTACCTACCACGGGTACTGCTTACCTGAGCCCACACTAGATACCTATAGGTTCGTAGGTGATAAGGACTGAATTTACAATTACGCATTTATAAACAATAACAATATTATCCTACGAGGTACTTAAATCGTGCATTCGTTTTTAAAAATTACACAAGCATCCGATATCCCAAAGACAAAGTAACATTTGAATAAGGAAAAAGCTTATGAAAATGTTGAAATTAGCAATGTTTGGTACGGCACATCTTGGCATGTATTTAGTCCCTCACATTTTGACAATTCTACAAGTGATATCGCTAATCGAATTGACTTTGACATCGAATTGAATTTCGATTATAACTACCGCAAGTAGAATCGATAGGATGTGTTAAAAATGTATGGAAATAACATGACTTTTCGACAGTTATTGTCAGTTTTATACATTTGATTTTTAAATCATAATCAAGTCACTTTGTCTGAGGGGGTAGGGTATTGTTATAATTCGTTGCTCATTACCTGTTTAGTACAAATTAATGCTTATAAAAAACAACGAAATAGTGATAGAGAATTTTCTATCCGTGTTTATTGCTTAGCTTGAAAGGCGTTTCTGGAATACAATAACATGTTTACAAACAAATAATTATAACAAAGCATGTACAGTCAGTTGCAAAATGTATTTATAAAAAATTTCAGAAATTCGTTAATCCTTCGGTTTCAAAAAGTGTTGTTAACCGGAAGCATACGAACGGATTCTTGGATGAATATTTTTAAACCGAATTCATACATAAGTTTCTACAGCTTTGTAATGATTGCATATTTATGAAGCTGACTGTACAATATACGTAAAATTAGTAAAGTGGAATAATTTTATATTAACTGATATTTCCTGAGCTATGTCCTGTTACTTGCGTTGTAAATGGGCTTATGTTTATTTGAAAGCAAGATTTCCTTCAAACATTTTTTTTTACATTTAAATATTTATCAATTGCAGTTTTATGTGCCTACATGTAGTGATAGAGACGCACTATTAATGCAAATATTGTAAATATTTTAGCGTTAACTCGTTGTTTCTGTTATATCGTGTAAATATTTTGTAAAGAGATCATTCCAATCGTTTAACATAAATTATTTTAATGATTTTTAATTGTAAATTTTTATTTTACTTGCCATATTACTGTGGGATTCTACGGCCGATACAATTTTGTTAAAATGCATTCTCTTTTCTCGCAATAAACATGACGGTATTTTTGTTTTCGGCAGTAGAAGCCCACTATTACAATCGTTGCTTACAGTCTTCCAGTAGCGCGACGGAGACCAAGTCATGTTCTTAATTAAGTGTAAAATTTTATTTTATTTAAATATTGAAGCCATATTTAATACCTTTAAGTATATTATTTTGAAAGGTAATATTTTAACATATACGGTATGTTTCAAGTAGTCGGGTTCTTAGTGTAAGAACGGCTTTTTATATCGATTATCGGTACTGACTACTAGATGCAGTGTATGTCGGCCCTTATTGTGACAATGATATACTTTTAAAAATAAAATGACTACTCAAGATACAAAAATTAAATGCAATTTGCGTAGTGTGGCTGTCAATTGAATTGGTGAAGAGTTCTTCCAAGTGTATAGAAACAAATATGTATTGTAATTTATGTAAATATAAAAATAAAACGTTGATGTTTGTTAGTACCTATGTCTTCCTTGTTTTTTATTTAAGTGTAAATTAAGTTAAATTATTGAGAAAAAATAAATAAACGTTTCCAATCAATATTTAAAATTGTTTACTTTTACCAATAAACCAGTTTACCAATAATCATACAAAACATACAAACAACATAAATTACAAACAAGACTCGCATTTACATAATGCAAATTAATATTATTTTCATATAAATATGTTTTATAGGATAAAAGTAGCCTATGTGTTCTATATTATGCTCTACAACTATAGTAAATTTTAACGAAATCCGTTAAGCCATTCTGGAGATAAATCCAAAACACCATTTATCCATGCAAACTTTCGCATTTATAATATTAGTAAGATAAATTCAACCCATCTTAAATATACCGTAAGTTTCATTGTTACGTTGTAATCCTTTTATATTAAGAAATAAAATAAAAGGTCGCTAGGGGCAATCGCAATTACACTTGCCGGTAACCAATTACGTTCCGCAACATAAGTACGAACCCTACGTTTGTGCGTGCGAGCCACAGTGTAGCTAATCATTGATTACAGCCTAATCACTTAAGTAAGAAATGATTCAAGAAAAACTTCAATAGGTTCTGTAAATTTGCACTCTGTGTAAAGTGCTTTGTAATTGCTGGGATAAGGTGAGATCTCTGCGACTGGAACTTTCGTTGTGGGAGTAAAAGGAAATAATAACATTGTGTTGACAAGCATCTGGTAAGTGCACCGTTTTTATAGTAAGTGAGAGGGATGTTTAGATGTTTTATAAGAGAGCTTTCGCCTGCGGCTCCCTCCGCACGGAATTTGAAAAAGAAAGTAGCTTATGTGTTCTTCCAGACTATCCTCTACATCTATACCAAATTTCATCGAGATCCATTCAGCAGTTTAGCGCTACAACCCCAGACAAACGTGCATCTATCCATCAAAATTTTCGCATTTATCATATAATATTAGTAAGATTCTTTCTGTGAAAACCCATCGTGAGTTTATGGAAAATAATTATTGGGTACAGTCAATGTTAACACAACTGTGGCTGAATTTGGTCCTTCTCATTGCATATGGTTTACTCCAATTTTTGTATAAAATACCATAAAACCGACTATCATATTTGCAAATGCACGAATGTGGAAGAATTGCAAAAAGTGTGCAGTCAACCTGCGAAATGCAAATACGTAATTTCCGCCCACTGATCTGGGTCAGAAATATCATAGCATATTCTGTCATTTTCATTAAAAAATTTTAATTAAAATTATAGTAAAATCTATTAGCGTAGAATTTCACTGTCGAAACATTTGTATTAAAATCCAGTTTTAGCTATTGTTTAAATATAAGTTAGGTTTGATGTAAAGTTACAAGTGCTTAGAATTTTAAGTGTACTTAAAATGTGCAATAACTTAAATAGCATCGATATTTTGACGTCGTGGACGAATGCTCGTGACTGATCTCAAAAGTTGATTTTATATTGTTTTAAGTGTTCCAGAATCTAGGTCTGTGCCGTGGCCGCGGATCAATACGTTTACTGTAATCAAACTCAGCAGAAATCACCAATTGTTTTTCGCTATGATACTTTTTATTTAACAATGAAAAAGGTTTTCCATTCCTTACTGTTTTTTTAAAAACAGATTCTTTATCGAAAGGACAAGATTGAAGACTTACAAAGTCTGTTGTCCGTCTTGTCCATAAAAAATGAAATTGATGAAAAATTTCCTTACATATTTGTACCGACTAAACTTATTGACTACTAACTATATTAAACATGTTTTCGCCATTATTTTTGGCTGACATAGGCTACATTTAATAGCCTCATAGTGTTATACAGTACATTTATATCCGAGCCAACAGAACCAATCGTAATGTTGTCAACCCCTGATTTATACTTTGATTGCACCACTTTTGTGTTAATAATGTAATTCGTGATTTCAACAAAATTATTGGACACGAATCATTTCGGTTTTTAACAAAATAACGGTCTTAGTAATATTGTCGCGATACGAATAAAGGGTAATGGTTAATGCATTTTGTTTTAGGTTTATAAAAAGTATTTTGTTCATTAATTTCCTCAAATAGTGTATTTTGTAAGTCGGACGAATGTTTCAGAATTCATCATCATCATCCTCCTTATCCTACTCCCGTAGGGTCGATGCGACAGATTTTTGTCCTCCAAATAACTCCGTCATCTCAGTCGTCACTCCCTTTTTGATCAAATCACCTTTCACGCAATCCATCCATCTCTTTCCAGGTCTACCTCTACCGGTGTACCCTTCCACACTCATAACTAACGTTCTCCTTGTAACATGCGATTCATCCCTCCTCATAACATACCCATACCATGCTAACCTTTTACTCCTTACTTTCGCTACTACTGGGACTACTCTCAAACTTCCTCTAATATACTCATTTCGTATCTTATTCATTCAATGTTTTAGAATTAATGACGTTTTATTTTTTCTAAACGGCTAAAATGAAAAGGCCGCATTGTTTAAAAATCGGTCAATTTTTGAATAGTGTGTAGTCATTTGTTTCATATTACTCTAGAGTTTCATTGAAGTTTAGTTGATTGTCATCGATTTAACTTCACAATACAATCAGTTTTGATTTGGTCTATATTTGAAGAAGTATATGAAAAACCGTTATTATTTACTTATGATGATTTAACTATGGATTTCTTTCCAAAATCATATCAGTTGAATGATAAATTTTTGAAAATCCATTATAAAGATTGATGCAGATTTATGATTCCTTTATAAACGGAACATAATATCCGAGGGCCTTGCAATTTATTACGGATATCATTAAGAACCCTCGGCAATGAATTTTAGTAAGAAAATTTAAACTTTCTTTTGGACACGATTAATGAACCTTTTCACATTATTTTGTTACAAAATGCCGTCAACAAAGCATTTTAATAAGCTACATAAATCAGGATAATATACAGTAAATGTAAACACACTTGAAAAGAACGAAAAGCAGGAAGGAAGAGCGCGCGAAGTAATTAAGGGAAATCAAATTAAACTAAAAAGTTAAAATGAAGATTGACAAAATATACAAAAGGGGAAATTATAAATAAACACTCTAGCAACCATTGTAAGAATTTATTGAGGAATGCCAAATTATTTACAAAAATATCAAAATTTAAAAGAATATAAATTCTAATTTTAAAAAAGTAAAATGTATCAAAGTGGATAATTGCATCGCCAACAACACTCACTCTTCAAATCTAGTTATCTAGTAAAAATATGATCTTAAAATTAATTCACTCCTTTGAAAAACTTAATTTCTAATTAATAGGTTTATTTAGTGGTCTCTTATTTCAAGTTGTAATGGACTCCTATTATTTATCATTGATTGTGTCACTAATTTGTCAAGATAAATGTTACTCCGTATTAAGAATGTTCTTTAGATGAGTTCATTAAACTGATATTGTAGTTAGGGCCAGTCCCACCTAATTATAAATTGTCTGATAACAATCCAAGGTGTAAAATATGTCATGGAAATATCGGATTACCTCGTCTGACAGTAACGTCATTTTTAAGCTATCTGAGCCTCTATCAGCCAGTAGTAGGACAGCTAAAGGTCATTAATTACAACTTTCGTTTAATTCCAATGAAATGAATACGAGGAATCTTAATTCTTTGGCGTTTTTCAATTCTGTTAAAGTTTATATTTTTTGTGCTCATTACCTAGCATATATATTAGTTATGTATGTACTTATCATATTATAAATGCGGAAGTTTAGATGGATGGGTGGATGGATGTTACGAGTTTGTAGCCTAAAAGGCTGAACCGATTTCGATGAAATTTGGTGTAGATGTAGAGGATAGTCTGGAAGAACACATAGGCTTACTCACTTTTAGTTGCAGGCGATAGCTAGTATCATCATAAAACTGCAATAGTTAAATAAAAACTCAATAAAAGGTTAGTCGTATAAATTATTCCTACACAAAGTGTACTGTTCGTGCACAATTTCCGCACAAACTCACAAAAACCAGGGCTTAGTATTTCTCTGTCATTTAGTATTTCCGACGAACGTATAGGTATTATGTTTAAAGGTTTCTGTGAAGCATCAGTTTGCTCTACTAATGTTGTTTTAATAATGGATACTGTCGTTATCCACGCGGAAGGAAAATTATAAGCGATATTATACAGTAACAATTATTTTTGCATAACATTTAAATGCAAACTTACGGTACTGCATACGTACGTACTTTGTCACTTTCTTTTTTGTACGGAAAAGAACAAAATTACACATTTTTTCAGAATTAAAGTTAGGAAAATTGTATTCACTATAATATTCCTAATTTGTACGTATCATTATATTGATATGCCTTGGTAATGATGATTGTAAGTACAAACATCAAATTATAATTTCATGTGTTTATTTTACACTTAGAATGTGTCATCTTCTATGATTTAGCTACTTTTACTGAAAATTTACAGTAATTTCGCTTGGCATTTAACAACCTTTATTAGTCAACTAGTAACTTTGGTAAAAAAAAGTTTATTCTTTTATATAATAAAACGAGTAGCGCTGAATAAGCTTCACCGTTGACAACTATTAAAATACCGTAATGAGTAGCCTATTAAAGTATTTAAATTTAAGCATTTGAATACTACAGAGAATTAGATTCACAACAAATTCATTCAAAAAAACTGTAGCATTTCTTCAAATTACTGAGAGGAATGCGTCTCACGTTGAATTTAAACGAGTCCTCACATCCGCGATCTAGAAAGTGAGTTCTGCATCTTATGCAAATGATACCGATACGAATGGAGAACACGCTTACAATGTACATCAACTTCTATAAAATGTCTACCTGTGACTTGAAAATTAATTGACAAATACAATTTGTGTTGATGCATGAATCTATAGGGAAATAAGTTTATATCTATCAGTATTTTTATTAAAATGATTAGCAGATGTTTTCAAGTAAACAGTCTAAATATTTGGTTTTCACTAGAATATGGAGAAAGAGAACCGGTTACTCCGATCCTATGGGAGTATAACGACAGGTATTTGACTAGTATATGATTTTCAATTACATAATTTGCGGTTTTTAAAGAATTAAGAATTTCTTCGTAAAACAAATCTAGTTGATTCCTTTTAAAGAAACTGCATAGATACTAACTTTAAATTGGTCACTTTTTAACAAGCGATACAACTTATAATGCTTGTTAAAACTTCTGTGGATAGCGTCACTATGACAAATTATATTGCACATAATTTATGAATGTAGTACTTGGACCTAGCAAATAAACAAAATAAAAACTATAGTAGGTAATACCAAAATACGATAAAAGGGACGATATCAATACAATTTACAATAGAAATAGATTTAAACAACTTGTTTTCTTTATAGCAATAAATGTTTTAATATTTAGGTCAGAGAAAAAGTATCGAGTTTGGAGTTAAGAAATTTTTATGGTATACACCTAGCGAATTGGTTTCATACAATAATAACAAACGTAACAAACACTATAGAAATGTTCATAGCGTCTGCTTTTTATAGAGGTTTAGTAAATATCGATTACAAATAGAGCGTGTTGAAGTAATCTGGCCACGAATATTACACGGTTTGCGGCGGATCATAGCGCGCTTCTTAATAAATTTCTGGTGACAAACGTGAATCAGAGTTAACGCTCGAAAAATTTGATCGGCTGATTGGATAGCGGTAATGCGAACCACTGACGGCACAAATATAGGACAAATCTATAAATATGAAAAAAACAAGTAATACCACATCGACGAATTTACTGACAATCTCAAATGACATTAACGAGACACTTAATAAAAAAAAAAAACATGTCATATAGCTATGCATGCAAAATAAGTTAACGATGCATGAAGAAAACAACGTCGCCTCCATATACACGGGGAAAAGTAGTGAGGCTTAGCCGCAGTGCCTTGTAATCAATAAGGTACTTTCCTTTGCGCCTGGGCCGAGAGCCGCAGGACGGGATGGTGGCGGCGAGCGGTGGTAAACGGTGGTGAGCTGGTGCAGTGGCGCTGCGCTCGAGTAGTCCCACTCGGATCGTCGCCGCGGCCGCACGCGCACGCCGCGCCATGACACGCCCCCTGATGCCCGTGCTCGCGCTCGCGCTCGCCGCCCTCGCCGCCGTCGCCGCCGACACCGCCGACGATCTATCGCGACCCCGAATCCTAGATTTCAACCCATGGTCGTGGTTACCCAGCAACAGTAATCGATCCCCCTCAGTCATGGATTATTTTTTCCCACCTTCCCGAACACCGAAGAATTCAAACCTCGATCCCCCGGCAGACCGTTCGCCGCCCAAAATGACTCATACGACAATCGCTGATACTTTGACGACAGGGAATCAGGAACATCCTACTACCCTCAGTCGTAAATCCGGTAGCAAATCTAAAACTACATCACCGTCTCGCATAACGGCATCGCTGAAAACTAAGAAAAACGCACATAAAACCATCGATATAGAAACGCCCGCCGAAACTAAGACTACCCCACCTATCATGTCGAACAACGTGACACAAGCTCCCATCCAGATGGTGGTTACGACGACCACCGCTCGACCGACGAAACACTATACCATTCGTCCGCTGATTCGGACCACAGCTATGGACACGGTGGAAACAGAATCAACTTTGAACACCGACAGCGATAGCACTGAAACGGTGGCGGTATTTGACACGGCCGGCACGACCGCCGAGAATGTTAAAGTCACGCCTACATTTAGTACGACTGAAAGCCGATCTGAAACGGGAACAGCTAGCACAGGCACAGAGTCGACTACCATCGTGGACAGCACGCTGGCGGAGGAGCCCGACAGCCGCGAGGGATATTTGCCTCTACGGGACAAGCCGCCGCAAACACACGTTAAGATCAATGAACAAACCAAGAAAGAGGTATGTAACATTTTTAATCGTATATTAACGAATTAGCACGCTTTGTAGGCAAAAGATTATAATTATTACATAAAAAGACGTAAATAAGAATTTTCCTAAAAAGTAGGCGTTCATACTCAACTTTTAATAAAATTATCAAAATTATTTCGTAACACCGAATGATATCAAAATGTAATACCGAGTGAAGGAAATTTTAATTACAAATTTTCAAGCAATGTGCAAATCCGCGGCGCAGAGGAAAAAGTTTACCACTGATTAAAATTGTTATAAAAGCTCTTATAACGTTTTTTTTACTTTTACTTCGAACAAAATAAAAGCTCTGTGTAGAAGATTTCAATGTTTGTAATAATTTCATGGAGTTAACCTTTACGTGTATTTATTTACTGCAAATTGGGTTTTAAGCATATTAAATTTATTTAATATAAGTATTATCAACACCATAGCAGATAAAATTAGAAATAAACCACAAATTGTGTTCTATTATTTCTAAAGCATTTTCATGATAATTTCAGACATGATAACAAATGGAGTACACCATACTAAATTAATTTTATGTAAACTGAAGACATAATTAAACTCTTTGCAGCATTCACTTACCAAAGGCTTATAAATTTGTAAATGTTTATATACTGTATTTTATTTAAATCTTTTAAGTTGTAAGTTGCTAAAACAATCGTTAGCAGCAACACAATGAAAACAATAATTCCAAATTTTAACACTACTTAGAGGCACTTAAAATTTATAGCACAACTGTAACGGAAGTAACGAAGAAGTAAAGTTTAAAACAACAAAAGGGAATGTATGAATGTCTCATAAACTCTATTATTTCTTAATAATACAAAAACGAAGGAACAATGAACACCATTAACTAAAGTCAAACAAAAAACCGAGCAATTATCGTGTAAATTGAACGACAGCAGCCGTTACTCATTTGCATGTTGCATCAGAGAAAAACGACGATGGTAAAGAAATATTAATTAACTAGCTTTTGACCGCGATTCTATCCTCGCGAAATTAAAAACAAAATCAATAAGTACTTTATGTAGGTTTCGGTACTATATTCTACATCTGCCAAATTTCGTAGAACTTAAATCGTTTTGAACTTATGTAAAAACAAACATCCATCCATCGAAACATTTGCATTATTAAGTGTTTCCTTTCGCATGATTTTCAAGGTTTTCTATTTATATCTTACGACGAAAAGAGTTATATCTGCAGGGACTCATAAGTTAGGATAATTTTTAGTAGAATGTGTTAATTTATAATTATTCCGAGGAATGTAATCGAAGAAAAGAAGCACAAGCAGATGTTACCAATTTATTAATAGATTGATATCTTTATCGATGTCTGATGTGCATCGCTTCTGACATGTTAATTGCGACCGATTATTGATTACATTAATTATTCTTACTTAACTTATATTTATACGCCACAACCTTATAATACAACTTATGCCCGGTTTCTCAGCTACGTTTAACTATTCGTTAATGTTTTTGGTGGGATAAATTCATTAAATGCGTTTACGAACTACGTCACTTGAGTTTATATCCATTGAAACATAGGTCATTATGACAAAATACGTGAAAACTTTACAAATACAGAAACCCAGCATTAGTCATTTAATACAGAAATGTTTGCTAGCCTCTTTTATTTCATGAATATCCACACACCAGATAAATTGACTGACATATCGATTTTCTTACTAATATAAAAGTTTAACTGATTATGTATCATTTTGTTTTCCTCGTACTTATGAATATATAGTTATTTTACATACAAACTTTAGTTTAAGCTCTATTAGGCGTTAAAAAAATCAAATCATTAAAATCTGTGATGCCTATTGGAATTAAAAGATCTCTAAATAACTGAGATATAATAAAAATTTATTCACTGCATTTCATAAGCTCGATTGGCAAATATCATTCGATGGTGTATTTGCGATTCGTTCAACAAATATATATTCGTGGAGTCAAAATGAGCCGTATCATGAACTGAGGCAAATGATAAATACAATTCACACTTTCGCAAAGCGTTCGATGCAATATCGATATAAATCGAGTTTAATTAATCAGTACGCATTATTGTTAGAAAGTTTGTGGTATCAGTATTGCGGATTCGAAGAGAAAGGAGGATTAGTACCTAAGGTAACCAAATATCTAGGTTAAATAGCCGCAAACAGAAATAGAACTTGAACAGAAGGTACTGTAACAATATAGACTAAGGAACTGTTACTAAACCGCTTTGGAATAGAAGCATTCATATATTTTACGCAACAGTTAACTACTAGATGGTGTCCAAAATTAAATCTAATGGAAATCTTTAGACTTTTTGGAGAATGAAATAATAGAATTAAATTGGTTTTCGCTTATCCAATATCAGATAAACATTCAATTGTAACAAAAAGTATTGTAAATTGTATGGCGAGAGTTACTTTCGTGAAATTTATCTTGGTAGTTACTTTATTTAATTACGTATTACGTAAGGTATGAACCGAACGCATTGTTCAATATCTCAATGAAGCTTTGTCTAAAAAAATTCGAGTTTAATTGAGCATCAGAGTTACGCCTTTCGGTTGTTTTCTTTCAAAATTGGTCTTCGATTAGTAATGTAGGCTCCGGCTTTCACCGGAACATTTCGATCGCCATTTTCTGCATGCATATACTAATTTTGCAAGATCGTGTGAAAATTACAACTCCGCGTTTGATACTGGATCTTCAGTTAAACGGTGCACCTTTAGATCAGGACACAGCTTCGTATAATTAAAATGATTGCATACGCAATTTTAAACGTTTTCCTGTATCATGACAATGTTGTGGACCTGTTTGATGAATTAGAAAAACTCAACTAAAGATATAAGAGCAGGAGTTCGAATCTCGAGGGTGACAATATAAATACATAATACAATATGGCAAGTCAATGGAGATCGAGACGATGGGGTCGTAAACTAAAAAGTCATCACCATGTTAAAGTGTTAAGATTAAATGTGGGTGGCTACAAAGGTAGAGGAAGACCGAAGAAAGTATGAAAGTATTGTGTGAAAGAGGATATGCTTATGAAAGGAGTAGATTCAGATATGACGGCTCATAGAGATGTAAGTAAGAGCACATACTGTGCCGACCCTCCGTAAGGGACAAGGGCCAGTTGATTATGATGATGGCAAGTCAATACTAAAGCCACAATAGCAGATGATTTAACAAAGGAATGGAAATCCAAAAAATCAATTATATTCGATTGAATTCAAACAGCTAGTAGATCGTGCGTAATAATTAATTTCCTTAATACCGGATATCGAGTAGCAAGATTCAGTTTGTTTGTCATTTAAACCATACAATTCGATCCATAACGTGGAACACGCTCATCACAACCCCATAATTGTATAGATGAGCTAATGAAATGGTTGTCCATAAGAGAGTGTTTTAAAAAGATAATAAAAAAAATATTAATGGCATATGTAATTATTTTCAATTGCATCGAGATGAGGAGAGTGGGTTCGGTAAAAACATGGACTATGCATTAAACAGGTTTCGGTGCGTAGCAATTTTCTCAGCAAATGCACAAAGTTCCTCGAGACTGTAGTTGTTCCAAAGCTTCTTGCATGTTGCTAGGGAGAGCAGGGCAATAATTGTTAAAGTCATTAAGTTTGTACATACGAAATTAAATTGTTTCAACATTGGTTTTCACAGCAAAATAAGTTGCACAAAATGTTTTAACTCTATTAGTATAAGACACGAAAAAGATGGCAAACTAAAGAAAGGGAACTCTTTTTATAAATGTAGCGAAGAATACATTTACTTTAATGCGTAATTCATAATTTTAAACGTTTGCGCTTCAAGTTATTTATTAATTCAATGCAATAAGACGCTACATTTGTATTTGACGCTACAAAATTACACGGTATTCCAAATAGATCGGTTTTTACAAATAAAAAAGAAATGATTAACGCCGTCTGGTCTCACAGTTACGTTCCGAATCACGTAACGCCTCTCCGTTGCATTAACGGTAGTATCCTTGTCTTAGTTAATTGGATTTTATTAAATCAGGCCGTGTAATACAGACCTAGTGACGTCTTTATTTCCTGATATTTTGTTCGCAGAATATGTGTTTGCAGTAGAAGTGAATTGCTATGGAAACACTTGTATTTGGTCAAAAGAACGTTTATTATAATTTTATAACTGTTACATTTTATAAAACTGACTTACTTTTCACGCTCAAGAGGAAGGGACTATGTACGCGCATGGCATTTGTATGGACAAACAATGTAGACACAATTGATTAAAAAAGTAATTACAAAAATTTTATGTTGCGTTAATTTTTTGGATACAAATGTCAAAGGGTTAACATATGTTGTAGGGACTACGTTTTTAATTCCTATAGGAAACGAAAGCAGTTTATAATATAACCAACTTAATCATTTTGTTGTACTCGCTAGTATAAACACGCCCTGTATTTTACTCTTAAATGCGGTGTGACCATATTAACTTAAAAAGTGAGATAAAAAGCAAGTGCAGTGAACGCTACTGTGAAATGCGGAGTGAAACCCTTTCGGAGAAAGTATTCTCAAAGGAGTAACGTCGGTTGATGTTTGACCGACATTCTTTGTTCATACAAAATGTCATTAAATTAAAAAAAATAAATCGAGTATAAAAACGAAAGTACAATCTTATTTATTTCATTACAGTTACATCGGCTTCGGTTACAACAATTTGGTGGTAGTTTAAAATGCGATAAAAGGATTCGTCGACGAAAAATCAATGTAGTATAAATATTTACTTTCTTTTGAATGTGGTTGCTAAAATTGAATTTCTATACAAACAAGTCAATAAATTTGTTATATTTCACTACGTGTTTTAAAAAGAGAAAACTTTAAGACCATTGGATTCACTTCATATTTTATACAAAGGTCGATTCCGTGCCTCAATCTATATTTCTTTTCTAACATAATAAAGCGTAAACACACACTACTTCCTGGCGTAGGAGGTCTGCAATCACAGCATGTTTTT